AGTACAAACAAGAGCTGGACTCAGCAGCTGCCTGTCATCCATGCCAGTTCTGGTTGCCAGCATAGAAGACTGATTTAAAATTGCATGATGTGATACATTTAAAATGTACATCAAAAACCATTTTATAAGTACATCTTGTCACATTTTCCAGGCAGCTTAACCTTTTGAAACTACTACCTATTAGTGGGCCAAAACCAATCTTTTAGGTTTAGAAGAGGTTTAAATTCAAAATATACTTGGCACTTCTGTTTCAAGTAAAGATTAAAAGCTGGTAAAAAAGAGTCTCACACTGAGCTAAACCAACCCGAGAATGGTGTTATAAATATGCAGAGGCTACGGGGAATAAAAACAAAAAAAAAAACCACCTTTATTTCAGCAAGAAAAGCTGCTTCCTTCTCAGGATCAAACGTGATCCAAGAGAAAATGGTGAAAACTATAAAAAATTACACAGAATGAGAGTCTGCAGCAAAATATAGAAATATTCTTCAGTAATATGGGAGAGAACAAGGAAATAAGCATCAGTTCTAGTTTGAGACACCCAAGTTAATACCTAAATACTCACCAAGATGACCATACTCAAGGCCTGAGTAAAGATATCAAACTGCAGTGAGACTGAGAAATGGATATCAGTGAACCCAAAGGGAAAGTAAAGCTTGGTGTTCTCAATTTGAACATGTCCAACAGTCACCATTAATAAAGTCTGATAGCATGATTTCTCTAACAAACCTAATTCAGGCTTGAAAAGAGAAAATACACTGTGTGTGTTTTGAAAGGTAGAACGGAGTCACTTGGGAACTACAAATTCACGAGTATGACCTTGGTAGTTTGTGAGTCTTTAGAACATACTTTGAAAGGTTTGATATAATGCAGATAAATGGAGATTAAAAGGATGGTTCTGTACAATGACCAGAAGAGCTTTTATTTGTACATTTTCTCAAGAGAGAAAATACAAAGGAAAAAAAATAAAAAGAAAAATAAGAAAAAAAGAAAACCAGAACAAGACTCTACCCATACTTGTAGGCAAATGAGCATATGCAAGTGGAAGCTGGAGCCCTGGAGTTTTCTGTAATATTCCATGTGCAGCTGTGAATGCTTGCACTAATGCCAGTTAATCTGCAGAGCTATGGGCTGAGGGAAGGCAGTGTTGGCCACAGCACTGGAGTCATCTACTACTCTTCAAACACTGAAACCGAATCCTTCACATCCTCCTGGGCTCCACCAGAAGGGAGCAGATGGAGCCTCACTAAGCTGCTCGTTCAAACACAAATGCATAATAAAGCAGTAAACATTAGGGTTTTGACACGATACCAAAGCAGAGGAACAGCAATAGTTTTAGTAAAAGTGCTTCTCACTTAAACCTTTCTCTGATGTTTCCAGTAGAGTGAGAGTTCATGGCTTAAACCAGGACTAGCAGCATACAATTAAATCCGAGTAAACATGGTTTATATTAAAAAACAATTAAAGCTAAAGAAAAGACCCTTTGCAATAGCACAGTCTGACTCTGCTTTTATTTGATACACCAATTTCAAGCAGCTCTGCAATTTGTTGTTTGCATCCTTGCAATTAAGGCTCATCCCTGACATCCTGCACTAAGATGATGCCTTTCAGCTTGCTTTTGGTTTGTTTTTTTTGGAAAGGTCTGACAATTTTCTCTTTCATTCCTACTCCAGATGAAATATGGATTTTTTTCTCTTTCCAGCAGTCAAAGCTTTAGAGAACAAATAAAATGAGGATGAAAAGTTCTTCTTGCTCAGCTTTTTAATTTAAGGGTTTTTCTGCTTTAATTTTCTTTCTTTCTTTTTTTTTTCTTTTTTTTTTTTTTAATACATTGAAATCATGTAGGGTCAGTAGTAAATGTGCCATTCAAGTATCTCTTCTTCCTGAAACCATGGCCAAAAGCATCCATCCCTTTGGGATAAACAGGCTGAAAGAAGACTTTCTTTTGTTTCTCTTTCCCATGACTGAAGTGAAATTGCTAGCACCACTGGATTATAACTTCATTTTAAGAGTTTTCTTAATAAACGCAAAGTAGGATTGAGACTACACAGAAAGATAGATAGGACAGAAAAGGAGAAGGGATCCACAAGGAGAATAAACCTGAAAAGAATTTTCTCCTACTTGGTGGATATCTTATTCTAAATCTGACATCCTTCCTCCTCACAGAGCAATTCTGACTGCAAACCTTTCCAAACCATCTCTTTCGAGCTGAGGGACATTTTCACACCATTTCGTGATCTGATGCATTCCAGCCACTCACAGGTAGCCTCACTCTTTGTTAGGATGCACTCCTGCCTCACTTTATTAAATACCTTGAGGATATTACTTGTTGCAATACAGTTGGGCAAAGACGAGAATGTGAAACAAAGTCTTGATTCTGAATTCCCTGGCCAATCTTGTCATTCAAATAGAAATAAAGAGTATGGAATAAATCCAGAGAGGAAAAACACAACACAGTTTTTTGTGCTTATTCAAAGGATAATGATGTCCTAGGGGAGACAATAAAAGAAAATGAAACTGTATGAAGGACATCTCGTAAACCTTGTAGGAAAGCACAACAAAATCAATAATAAAAAACTATTTGTGAGCTTGCTAAATAAAGCAAGCTAGGAACAAGACCTTTGAAATGCACATATTGTAAACTGAGTTCTAATACTTCAAAATAATTATTCATAATCCAGGTTGAGATTCAAGAAGGATATTTACCCAGTGCTTACCTCTTCTTTTGTGCAACCTGACTTCCTATAAATGATCAGGGAAAGAGAAACATGGCAAAGCTCTTCAGCATAGTGCACATCATGTACTGTTCTGCACAAAACAATGCCTGCATTTGCCCAAAAGCTGTGTGAGTGTTTAAGGAACATCATCCATGTGCTCTTTTGTTCTGCATGGATTGTTACTCCTGTTAAACCTTGGTGATTTTTATGTAAGAGGAACAGCAAAATGAAAGTGCAGAATACCAGTCTCATGCTGCACTGTTTCACAAATATACTGGCTACACAGAGTTCAGTAGCACTCCAAAATCAACCTTTTGTAGCAGATATAACAGTGTATTTTATATATTCTACTCATTTAAAAGGGATAATCAGATTTTCATCTGATTATAACAATTATCTCTTTGTGCTGAAACTAAGCACAATGGAAATAGTCTAAATGGATTTTGGAAAGAGAGGGACAAAGTCACAGAGTGAACTGGAGTAATGCTTGACAGAATGGCAGGAAGGAATCTACAGGTTTGCTATAAAATATATGTATTAAAGAGAAAAAAAACAACAAACCAACACATACCTCTAGCCCAGTACTTCAGCACATAAAACAACTTATAATCATTAATGATCACAATACACCCCTCTCAGTTTTAAGAGATAAGTTCCTAAATACTTATGCAATGCTTTGAACTCTGAAAGTCTTTTAATTGAAAGAGACCTGCACACCTCAGCAGTACTTAAATGTTTTCAGGTAATCCAAAATTCATCTGAAAGTTCAAAGAGATTCATGTATAAAGTATTGGCATTTCAAGTGACCAACTCTTAACCTGTCAAATGATATATCTTAAAAACTACAGCAAAAATCTCTTTTTAGAATACTTTGGTCTGGTCATGCATTGCAGTTTATCAATAGCAGTAAAGCTTGGCAAACACAGAAGCTGTGGTTGAAGTTCATGTCAATATAACACAAGGTCCAGGAAAGACTTGCTGTCTCACTAAAAGCTTTTCTAAAGATTTAACTAGAAAAATGCTAATGCTATTGTAAGATTTCTCTGCACTGCACCCACATTCATCCTGCAAGAGCTTCCTGCACATTCTCACAGAAGTTAAGCATAAATGTAAGTAATGAATACAAAACCAAAAGTCCTTCTGCAGTACTACAATAAGCACAGCATTTACATTTCAGGAACCGCTGAATGATAACAATCATAACTCTGAAATTATTTACTGCAAAATGTGGGCCACTAAAATAACTCTAAATACACAATTCTCAAGTACAAGAAAAGTTCAAGGAGAAAAACCCTTGGTTCTTATTCCTGCATCATATATTATAAATTAAAAATTAGTTTTATCCAAGTCTTAGAACATTTAATAATTACATTTCCATCTTCTATTTTTCCCTTGAGGTGTGCTTCATTACACAGGTGCACAACTGAGCAGGGATGCTCTGACTGACCTCTCCATTCTCCTAAAAGTCCAAGATGAATTCCCACTTACTATAAATGATCAAAGTTTTATGGACTAATGACAGTTTAAAGTACTTTTTTTCCCCCACTTTTACTGCAGTCCTGTCATTAAGACTAACAATCTAAAGTAGCTAAGAGAATGAGTAAGCAAGATGATTTACACAGATGATAGTGCAATGGTAAGAAGTGGGGAAAGATCCTTTCAGATTTTTTTGTAGCTGAAGCATTAAAAAGATTTACACCAAGGTCTTTAAGTGAAAAGAGAGCATTGCCAAAGAGGTCTGGCAAGCTCTTCTATCAATAAAATACTTTGCCCCATAAATTTAACCAAACTCTCAGCTTAAAACCTGATTAGCACTACAAGGAGCTTTCCTTGTTACCAGAGAAGCCCACCAGCCCAGTATCCAAAGGGTCTGATAAAAATCAGACAAAGTAGCAACACTTCTATAAAATTTTCACCACCATGGCATCTCCCATACTTTTTATTTTCCCATGATGCTACGTACAAAAGCTGAGAAAATATTTAGCATGAGAAAGCACAGGCTCTAATATAGAACAAAGTCATACTGAAATTACTTAGGGCTGGGCACAGCAGTAAAACCTTGTATGTTTCTGACTTACAAAAATCATGCCATAGGGTTTAACTTCTTTCAGAATGCTCTTCAGAAAGAGGTCAATTTAGAACAATCTTGTATCTTTTCCATAATCCAACTCCTACTATTTTTGTTCATCAGAAATGAACAAAATCATGAAAATGAATCAGACCTGAGTTCAGGCATAGGGCAGGTTCCCATCATGAATCAGACCTGAGTTCAGGCATAGGGCAGGTTCCCATCAAAGTTTAATTTTATGACTGTACCAGTACATGCATTTGACATTTGAGAGCAGAAGTATTTAATACAGTTCACAACAAAATTTCAAGGCAAAATCACAGAAAGAAAACTGGAGGTTTGCTGTTGCTCAGTATAACAGAACATTATTTGTTTGGTGCTAAAAATGGGCTTAAGGTTGTAAGCCATGAGTGTTTTGACAGTCCTTGCTTCCAGATCAGCTGTTCATGACATTTCCATCAGCTATCAACTTGGATTGCAGCCCATCCAGATCTAGAAAACAGGTGCCATCTAGTTTTGGACTTCACCCAAAAAGAGTAGGGAAGATACTCATATATGTCCTCACCCTCACCCTGAAAGTCTGAATAAAGTGATAAACTTTGTATAGGGAGCTCCAACAGTCAGATTGTAGCAGGAAGAAATGCAAGGGGCCAAAGGTGTGAACAAGCAAAAGGGCCTGTTGGTTTCTTGGTCTTTTTATGGCGCAGCAGCACAGGTATCTCTGCTGAGGGCAGCAGGTTGTGCCCATTCAGACATCTCTGAGCCAAATTCTTTAATTTCCAAACAGATACAAACAAATCCATAGAAATCCACCGGGAGGGAAGCCAGGTTTGCCTGCTGACCAGGGCACATGTCCTGTGCAGTTCTACTCTGAAACTGAATCAGGACACAGCCTTGGATAACTGGTCCATCATAGTAGCGCTGAGTTTCTATAGAAAAGGTTGATAAGCAGCTGGATATCATTCAGGAATTGTTGTGCTCCTTTAGCCAAACAAGGCTGGAAGACAAAGCCACCAAAAATGGAGGAACCTCCCATAACCAACGCCCTTCCCAGACCACTGCTGTGATTTGGCAGTCCACAGGCAGCCCTAAGTGTCAGCAATTTAAACAATTCTGGTTACATAAAGGTTACAAACCTTGCTGGCAGCATTTACAAACACAGAAAGAGGCAGATCCCATTCCTCTTTCTGCTCAGCCTTTCCTCAACCAAACTTTAGCACTTGCAGGTCCAGTTTCCAATTCTCCAACTTTCGCTCAGGTCTCAGACTAAGTACTGGACACTATCTACACCCACTTGTAAAGTAGTGTCACAAAATCCAGGTATTGGCGTGGTAAAATAACACCAAAAAAATGAATAGGGGGCCAACATGCATCGAAGAAAAGTCAGCCTACAAGTCTTACTCCGAATATTTTATCTGCATCAAAGAATTTATTCCTCTATCCAACCACAGATATTATCTACTGCTGCCTAAAACACAGTTAGTGTTTCTAATGGTATTCTGATTGAGATCTAGAAAAAAACACTGAAGGTTACTCATAAAAGTGCTTGCCAGTGTTCTTCCTTGGTCAGAACTATCAGTTTTATCAAATAAATTCACTATTTTAAATTATAGGAGAATCTGTGCCAGCATTGCATGTATTCTTTCAAAAACAAATGCTCACATGTGCATAGGAAGCTCCAAAAATGGATTTGTCCTAAGCAAGAAACAGGACAGAATGTGACCTTCATGGCAACAAATATTCAACTGAATACAGAGATTTTAAGCTGTTTTAGGAAAATGCTTGTTTCACATTCAGCAGTTTGGAGAGGGATTCCTATTCTGCAAATGCAACTACATCAGCTCTCCAATGGCAGATGGCAGGAGTGATCATAAACAGAATGATTTTACTTTCTGGTCAGCATCCAGTTGTCAGGATTTTTTTATAGGTTCCTTTTTCATTGAAATGAAGGAAGAGCTGCATCGATTTCTTCATTCACATACAAAATATATAGGGAAAATTAGGAAGAAATTCTCATAGAAACACAGCATCTTCCCTCTCACTCCCTGCCTTAGCATCTTGTACAGCAGCCTGGGAAAGCAAAACAGGTCATGCATTGAAAAACAGTTTTCAGAACAATTCATTAAAAGCACTGAAGAGTGCTTGTTGCCTTCATGTTCTCCCCCAATGATGTGTTGACTGCACATCAGATATGCAAGCGTATATTCCTTACAGACCTGGTCCCAAGAGAGAGTTAAAAGTGGGAAGACATATTACTCATCCAAGTATGAGAAGTTAAAAACGTTCAGAGGGGATTACAAATGTCATTTTTCCCACTGATTCACTTTCATGCTAAGTCCTGTTCACTGCACACGTTCTCACAACCATCCCCTTTGGCTGCATAATTGTAGAACCATCTCAATCCCAACTGTCTTCCTTGAGGAAAATGCAGAATATTTCTCTTGTTTTCAGTGCTTTGGGAAAGACACAAAACCTATTTATAAAGAAATCGTTTCTTCTCTCCCATGTTTTTCCTCTCACATGAAATACAACTTTTACATCCTGTCTGTATGAGCTGTGTACAACTGTGATTTGTAAAACTTGTTTCATACACTTTCATTGCAGTTTTTTTTACTCCGAACAATTTTTTTGTTTGTTTTGTTCAACTTTGTATTTCAATTACTGGGTTTTCTCCTACAGCCTATGAATTTAAAGAAGCTATGGAAGTGACACTATTTGTTACAGAGGCCTGTTGTCAGTAGATGGCAGCATGTGGCTGCTTAGCACACAGACTCTGCCAAAATTCTTACCGGGAAAACAAACTCCCAGACAGAAACAGCTGGGTCTTTGTAGACTCCTATCCCTACATATCTTTTCCAGCAAAATACTGCAGTCATGTCTCTTACAAAATCCTTCAGGGTCTGAGTCAAACTATGTAGTTTTCCTTGATTCTTGGTTTGGTGTTTGGTTGAGGATTTTTTCTTTTCCCCAAACAAAAGTGCAGGAGAAATTAAAATATTTCTGTAAAGCAGAGATAATCTGGACAAAGTCTCTTGGTACAGATGCTCAGAAAGGCTTATAAATTTGGAATTCCAGCCCTGTATCTGAAGTTCAAGAGATCAGTTCTAGCAACAAAACTGATTTTTTTATCCTTGCCTCTTCACAGCTTTTGACTACACAGGGTACTTTCCTACTATCAAACCATAAGCACACATATATAATATTTTCTCTCTTCCCTACCTGTATAAAAGGATGTAGCAGTGTATCCAGGAGTATAGAACTAACAAAATTTCAAATAATGAATTCCAAAATTTCACTCCTCTCTTGACTGGTTTTTCATAAAATAATTTAAATGGAAACAAATCCCAAGTTAGTACCATGTACATATTTAATTCCCTCTAAATTCCTAATTCTTTACATTCCCAAAACCAAAATGGGCTTGAGAAAATGTACTCAGCTATTTGCTCTTGCAATATACAGTTTGCTTCTCTGAGTAATTAATTATATTAAATGCTGTGGGCAACATAACAAAAGTGTATTTCTGTCTGCAAGGTTTATTTCAATTTATGTGATGTGGGTCTTCCAGGTTAGGAAATTTAGGGTATATACAAAACAGAGTTTTCACAGTGGATAGAAACATCCTCTCTCCTACCTGGATATATCCCTTTCACTTTCTGGCAATATAGAAGCTTTAAAGTGTATTTTTCTGAAAATTTTATAAAAGTGGTAAGAATCCACAAACAGCTCATGCATCCCCCTGTGCCATGTTGGTTCTACAGCCAGAATTACTTGGTCATTTCAAAATAAATGCTAGAGAAACAAGAAGCTATTTTAGGTTGCTGGTGTGTTTTTCTTACCTGACATGATTTCATTAGCCTTATTCTGTCCCTCAGAAGCAGCTAAAATTCCACTTTTTCGTCGTTGCAAGTAGAAGCTGCTTCAGCACTGTGGGGAAAGAAAACTATTTTGTCAAACAACATAGTGCTTTTAAATTACAACATATCACACAATTGATCACAATAAAACAAGGCCTCAGAAGGGCCCTCCGACACATGAGAGCTCACAGATGTTTTTTAAAGCAGCAAGTCCATTTGTTTTGAGTCTGTGAGGGTATGGCTCCCAGGGCAGAGGCAGGAGAGCTGGAGAGCACTGATGGAAGCACTGCCTATGAATCCTGTGCTCCTGGGGAGGCTCATCTGCTTCAGCCACAGGCTCCTTCAAGCCTCTGAGCTCTGAGCACCCAGATCACGGCCTCTCCCTCCCCAGTCCTGCTGCCCCAGGACTCCCAGTGTCTGTCAGGAGGAGTGTGTGCTCCCCCAAGCTTCCCCTGGCAGCTCCTCAGATTATTTAATCTCCACAAGTCCATCTGTCAAGGAACAGAAGTTGAAACCAGCTGCTCATCCATGGAGAGCATCGCTAGGCAATTATTGCCACAGACTATCTCAAAAAGTCCCAATTTCAATATGCCTTTGAAATTTGATGTGCTTTGAGTTGCAATAGATGAACTACAAAGAAGGCTGCAAAAACCCTTTGTATTGCTAGGCAGTATTAATAGAGTAAAATGATGGTGGGATTTAAAGATCCCAAGGTAATGACAATTAAAATGGCATCAATTATAGCAAAGAATGGCAGTAAAATGTCTGCATCAACCTAAAAGTGTAAATACAGGGAAACCCAGGACATCTTCTCCAGGTTCTAATGCTGCCACAATATTCCCTACTTGCACCTATTGCTCTGCAGTTTCTGTGCACCTTATATGTAACATGGCATCTGACAACACAGTTCTTTATGTCTTTGATAAATATTCTTCCCATCCTTTGATTTCTTTTTTATGACCTCTTTTTTCCTTATTACCTTACCATTAATCTCTATGTCCTCCCTGATTTCTCCCTCCAGGTGTTTTCTCCTGTATTTTTTCAGATCTTAATAAATTTGGTGTATCATAACAGTGGGGTGAGGGAAGGATCTTCTCTGAAGCAGCCTTTAAGAAAGATAAGGTTAAAAGAGGGGCAACAGGATCTAATGTCATTATATATTTAAATAGTGCTAATAGTGCATGAGCAGGCATGCCAGAATTCACCAGCTGTCCCTAAAGGTACAAGCCAGCTTTCTGCCTGCTCACATTATAGCCCAGTTTAACCTCTGCTGGAACATATCTCAGCACAAATGGATTGTAAAACCTCCTTCCTTACAACCAGGCTAATTTATCTGCCTTCAGAAATGTTTGGAGTTTTTCTGTAGAGAAATTCAAAGATTAAACTCAAAGTTACAAAGAAAATTAACACAGTAGAAATTTAATAGTTGAGTTAAAGCAGAGTGGAAGAAGTACCATAACAGAAGAATCTTCATAGATTATCTATATGTATATGGAAGATATAGCTGTATATTTATATATATAATCTAAATATTACAGATATTTATATAGATATATACACATATATCTATATAATAAAATTGATAGTATTTTCTGTATGGATAAACTATGATGCCATCAAAATAAGCAGAATTTGGCATAAATTTGAATGGGAATTCAAACATGGGAAATAGGTCTGGACATGGAAACATGCAAGAAACTAAGGCACAATTTAGCAGAGGCAGTAGGATAATTGTGCTGTGTCCAGCTAAAAGAATAGCCATTGAGTTGCAGGTAATGATATCTGATCTAGACAGTTTCAGATGTTTAGGTTAATTGGCACTTAAATTCAACTAGAAAACAACAGATCAAAATTTATGAGTCACATTCTCACCCTCTGACCTCACTATTAAGAAGCAAATATAGTACCTACAAATGAGAAAGAGAATTAATTTCTAGAGAAGTGTGTGAATAGGAAGAATATATTTAATTTTGGAAATGCTCATATGGATGTGCAACTTCTAGTGTTTGCAACTAGGTTTTTCAGGCTACAACATGTAACACTTGATTGAGTCTGTGTCTGGAAAGGATTTAGTCTTGTCTTGGATAACCTTCTGGCAGCCTGCTGTGCCTGTACCTCCCAGTTTTCCTTCAGACCTTCAGCAAAAGAAGCTTGGTATCAAAAAATTTCCCTTAAATTCTAGTCAGACAAGCTGGTATTTTGTTAGAACATTTTCCAGCCAAGAGAAATTATATGGCTGCTCATTTATAAGCATCCTTTAGCTCCAGAGCCCTTATAATTTGTTTAGGTTTATAACATACATCGTGTATCACCTTTAGTGATCTTCCATAGCTGTGCCAGATGCCATCAGTGGAAGACTTTGGCAATGAAGTACTTTCAGTTCAGCAATCCAGCCAGACTCAGTAGTGAGTGCTGTCCTGATGAAGTCTCTGTTACAGACACAGAAACCTCAGGCAAGATTTAACTTTGGAAAATTGTTGGAAACCTGGTTTGTGTGGCAGTACTGGAAGTGGAAATGCAATTTACACTTCATACACTATATAGTCAACATTAGCACAGCTAGAAGGTTAGAGCTGCTCCACATCAAGAACAAAATACTTCACTCTTCTGTTTAAGCCTTCATAATTTTACTGTCAAATAAAATGTCTCAGGTTTCACCCAGTCTTTCATAATGTATTTTCTGACATTGCCTGCATAGGCAGCCCATGTACCTACAAAGCTCCTGTACCTACAAAACTATTTCATTTATCTGTTTATAAAACAACTTCTCAGTTCTGACACTGCCAGAAAAGTTTCAAATACAGTATCTGTCCTTGTACTTTCCCTGCATTCACCAATGCTTTGGAAATGAAGCCACACCTCAAAAATCAGGCCTGGATTACAAAGAGGTAAGTGCAGAAGCCAGCAGTGATGCACTGGGCTTCAAAAGCACAAAAGGTCTAGAGATTAATTTTAATAACCTGGCCTCATCTTGAAGGAGAATTAGAAATTAAAAAGGAGAAAAAAAAAAAAAAGATGAGGAATGAGATAATCAGCTTAGATAAACCAAAGGAATAATTTGATGCAGTTTGCTCTGCAGTCAAATTACTGGTACATAACACTCACACTCTGGGTCACTTTAGGCAACTTCTAACAGGCACCAAGAGATTTGGGAAGCAGGGGACACACCATGTAAAAGTACAAATCAATTCATTACTGTCCAATACACAAAAACAATTGCTAGGAATAATGAGCTACCAATCCAACCCTTGAGAAGTTCACTGCTTCAGAGATGACTCCAGATGACTGCTCCAAACAACATTTGCCAGCCAGGAAGATCACGTGAGGAGACTCTTCTCTATTTGTCCTTGGGACAGGTTGAACCTTGGTGCTGCAGAGCTGCCATCTTAGCTTGTTTTCTTCTTAGAACTATGTATTTTTCCTGGGTTTTTTTTTTCCTTTCGAATACTTAAGCTGCCAATTATGCCCTTCTCACCAACCTTATCTCTACAGTTTCACCTTGTTTCATTGCACGGCTCTATTCTGTGTAGGCTTTTCCAGCTCTTGCCATCAGGTCAGCAGGTTTCTCAGAAGTCTGAGCTGGGGCTGCACAAATGTTGCTGGATCTTGGATCAGACAGCTGAACCACTGGGAGGAGGGTTACAGTGACAACAGACTATTCCAGAAAACTATTGGCATTCTCTTATGAAGAGCCATCGCTTTTATTGTCAGATCACGTTGCTGTGAGAGAGCAGAGAGCAGCAGCACACACTTAATAAAATAAAATAACCTCTTTGCATCTCATTCAACTCTGACACAGCAGTGAGAGCAGCAGAGGATTCACACAAAAGCAGACAGAAGTACGTAACAGACCTCTTCATTTGCACTAAGAAGTTAAGCAACAATAAGCCTACTTAGGCCTGCAGATGGTTCAGTGCCTATAATGCTTGGCTTGGGTTTTAATGCAGAAATATCAAAAGCTGTTAGTGGCAATGCTGAATGACCTCCTGCCTACAGTCAGTGATTTGCTTTTAATACTGAATACGATCTACAGAGTGACTGATCATATTTTGAGTCTCATTAGGCAGTCACAAATGGAAGGGAAGAGGCACTAGCTAACTCTCTCTGCCCTGCTGAGCAATAGCAGGATAAAGCACTGCCAGCCCTCACAGATAAGAACCTGCACACTCTGGGAATGCAGCAGCAAGAAAAGTTTGGTGTGTGCAAACAGCCTAGGCAACATGTGCCAGATGTGACACTGCAGGAAAAGCATAGGAAATAAAAAAGTCATCACGGATATAACAACCTTATGTGTGGCACTCTGTCCCTCTGGTGAGATGAAGAAATTTCCATATCCTACCAGGCAATCACATATATCTGCATGACCCTACTTAGTTCAGTTGAACAGCTAAATAAGTGTTTTCCATCTTTTCTCAGATGGAAGGCTCTTAAAATGACACAATATTCCAATACTGTAAATCTATGTCAACTTATAAATTGTATGTTATCTGAGGAATTCCTCTGGACCCCTGAAAAGAAATCCATAAATCTCTGGACATCAGGTCAGACAAACAGAGCAGACATAAACCTCCTCACTATAACTATTTTTTTCTCTTTTTAAGGTCCCAGCACCCATCTACTCCTTACAATAAGAGCTGTCTTGCAAAACCAACTCTGTTAAGCACTTTGATTTTATCCTGAATACTGGTTGTCACAGAAAATTAACTATGCTAAGTGTATCTAGAAAATTGTCATAAATGCTGTCACCTTGAGGAAATTGCAATTACTAAACAAGGATCCCTGGTAACTTCAAAGCTTTTGGACATAACTTTGAAGAAGTCTGTGTATGTCAGATTTCACCTGTCTATATTTATGTCCACTATTGCCCTGAAATGACTGGAGCATCACTACTGTTGAGAAAGAACAGAGCACCACCTGTTTATATCAATGGGTTTTGATTCCTATAATGAATTTTGAAAACACTGTTGAAAATTTCTACTTGCTACACTTAAATATTTGCAGTCTGGCTACAATGTGCCTTATGTGATGAGAGAATAAGGAGGGAATTAGATGATGGCAACAAAATCCCAGTCTTTTATAAATTACTTAATCCCACAAATCTTGTTTTCCTTAATCTATTACTTTTTTGATGATACTGGCTGGCTGAAAAGTTACAGTAGCACTTGCCTCCACTAATCATTGGATCAAAGAAGTCTGTTAAGGTTTTAATTTTGGGAACACTTCTGAAGAATGTCTTTTGATTTGAGAAACCTAACTTTTCTCATCTAGATATTTTCTTGTCTTCTTCCCTCCTGATTCCACTCTCAAAAGAAAAATTGATCTGTCAAATCTTTCTTTCTATAACTCTGAAACTTTTAAAATTGGCAGAGGCTTTCATGGGTCTTTTCAACTTAGTTTTACAACCATAAAAAATTGACAGATCTCTGCAAGAAAAATGAGAACATGATAGATTTGTCAAAGACTCAGTGGATAAAAATGAATGCAACAAGACATATATATGCCTCTTTCTGCTGTAAGTGAAAGTAAAGCTCTTCAGAGTCCACCAACAGGAACAATCTGTTCCTCATCCCCCAGTCACACCAAGTTTACAGCTTTGTCTCCCCATGGGCAGAGGGAGGATGTCTCCTGCTCAGTCCAGCAGCGCAAGGCCTGAAGATATTGATGATACCCCAAGATGCAATTTTGGACTCCTATACTCTCAAAGCCAACCTAGGCTGATTTCTACCACACTCTCCAGAGCAAACTTGCTCTGTTCCAGTTCTCTCAAAGGTTATGTAATTTTCCCTGCTGTATTGCAATTTTCATACAGGTATCTATGCCCTGAGCTCATGGGCTGTGAGGTCAACACAGAACAAACTGTGGTGTGACCTTATACAAGAATTCAATAGGTCCCTCAAAAATCACTGTTTCTCTCCGTAGATAACCCAGCTGGTCTCACTGAACCATTTTCAGACATCTTGCCCTTACTGAGATGCATTTCAGAGCAAAAGACAAAGTTAAACGGCATTGACTGGAATACATGGCAAACTTAATTACAAACTCATGCCCATGTCCTGAGTTTCCGGTCAAATAAAAAACAAAAACAATTTCCCCAAGCCAGGCTTATTCAAACACATTTTTTTAATATTTTTTTATTATTATTATTTCTTTTTATTTCAAGCACCTGGTCTCCAGAGATCACAGACTTTTTGAAAAATATCCCAGGAAATGAAAACCAAAAAACAACATAAACTACCTTGTTTGACAGAAGACTCCTGAGGCCCTCTGATTTATTCCAATGCTGAACAGAGCACCTTTGCAGGAACTTTGCCAGTTCTCCAAAACAACTGTGCCAGAAACTAAAGTTTGCCTTTCTCACACACCTCATCCTTAGAGGGAAGCTGTTTCTCCAAAAGGTCAAAGCATTTCTTCCAAGTTCCTCAGTGGTTCTGGTCTGGATTCTAAAGAAAAAGAGGTTTGTGTTGGTTCCCCACTCCTGAACAAACTTTCCAAAGGTAATTCCCTCCTCCCCCAACAGCTGTGACCCCACCTGGCCCAGAAGGGGAAAGTGAAGGAATTGTGCTTTCTCTCCATCTCTGCTTCCTGGTGACAAGATTACAGGCAGCATCTGAGAAACACAATTTCCTTCCAAGTGGCCTGACATGAGGAAAGCTCCAAAAATTCCCAGTTTCTCTGGGTTACAAAAACATCTTGTGAATAATTGCTTTGGCTTTGTGGAAGATGATAAGGAAAATAAAGAATTTGTGTCAATTTTCAAACATAACCAATTATGTATTTAACCTAAGAGCTCGTGCTTTTGTCAACCTGCTCTAATTGTTCTGATAACAGAAGGCGCGTTCTGGATGTTTTATGAACAATTTTATCTCTCAAGGCACCAAAGGCCACTGGGACATGTGCTGTGCTGTAGCCTGGGTAGATTTAGAACAATAAAAAAAGAGTAACACAATCTGACATCTGCTGATAAACAATGTGAAAAGAGATGCAGAGCACAACGTCTTCATCCGTGATTCAAGTCACTTACGTTAGAAATTATGTAAATAAAGACATTCTTATTTTGTACAATTTGGCCAGGAAAATGATGGGTTTAAAAACCACATGGGGCCTCTTTAAGGCATAATGTGATACATTTCTCTCTATCTCTGAAAAAGTTCACTTGGGCATGTTTATCATCCCTTTAAGCTATTTCTATCCCTATCTTGCTGAAACTCTATTAAAAATATTCTATTGGAGTTGTCTTTTAGAACTAGCCAGAGTTCATCTTGATATTAGTAATTGTATATGTTTTATACAGATATTTTCTTATCATTCCCTATACGAAAGGTGACAATTTTAAAAATCTTTATATAAAGATTATGACTTAGAAATGTAATAAAATGAAAGGGAAGTGGATTTGGAAGTATCTGCCAAACAGTATTTTTTTCAGTACTAAATGAATATAACAGCAAATTTAATCTCTCAAGTCATAAGCAAAATTTTAGCACAGCTCTGGGACCTTTTTTCCCATATTATAAAGTTGGACTTTTTTAATAGAATTACACGGCAAATATTTTTGTCATAACTCATATTTGCATTGTTTATCTGTTGGGTTAAATGTGAAGCACATGGTACACTCTTATAGTTTAGACATATTCTATGGGAAAATAAATAGTTAAAAATTAGATTCTCAAAAAAACCCTGAAAACAAAAACAAAACTTAAAACTGAAGCAATTTTAGAACTCAGAACCTTAGAGATAAATTAAACAGGGTAGCCACAGCATAAATGAATCTCACATGAGGATTCACTATAAATGAGAAAATGTTCCCTTGCAAGAAATTAACTGATTAAATAATGTATCAATTTCCGATGAGCAAAACATATTAAAAATTTTGAAGGTAGGGAAAAGCCCTTGAGGGTGTAAATGCAGTCACTCTGCCCTCAAATGCTGTGATTGCTTTCTTTGAATATTTAGTTCTGCAATAACTCTAGCTAGTATGACTTCTAAAAACTATTTTATTTAATAGCTCTCTTTAACCAGTTACAGACAACCCATTTTCCTTGAAAGCAGATTTTCATCATTACTTCTCTTTAATGTACCTCCCAAAATATTTCCCATTTTCCTGTTTTGACATTTCTAAAATAGTTTATAAACTTTGGGAGTTTAACAGTGCCGAGTGTGTTGGGACTATCTAGATAAAAAAGCAGCTTAGCATTTAAAGATAAGCACGGATCACCAAAATAAGGCAAAATAGTGATAATCAAAATTAATGGTATATTAGAGGTCAGAAAGTGTAATAAACTGAGAGTCATAAAAGATCACATGAAAAAGTAGCCAAGACTCTTCAGCCTCACCCAAAAGTACATGGAAAGGAAAAAACCCAAGGCATTCCTCCTTTGGAATGAAATCAATCTCCCTCAAATTCATCTCCTACTTCAGCTTTCAGTGTGAAAGAATATCCTGAATTTAGGGCAAATATTACTAATCAAAGGACAGGAGAAATTGGAAGTTGAAAGATCATGGGTAAAACAGAATTCCAAAGGCTGCTGTGCTCAGAGAAGCAGAGATGTGGAAGTGGACAATTCTCACTCCTAAACTCTGAAATAACCAACGTGGGAAACTGCAAGTCAGAGAGAGATCAGTAATAAAGCTGTGAAATCAGGAATGGTATAAATGTAGAACAGAAAATGCAAATCTAATTCCTAAGACTATGAAGAGAAACACAGCATCAGCAAATATGAGCTTTAGAAATGTGCAGAGCTGTTGAAAGCAACCCGAAGGAGAAGAAAAACGGTTTGGAAAAGCAGAGAAATAGAATATGGGATAAATTCATCAGGGTTTTGGTTTGTTTTAAGGTAGCTTTTTTTCAGAAAGATAGATTATTCTAGGATGACAAATATTTCATTACCTTCCTTTGATTAGGTTACTAATTCTATAGACAAAAGAAATAGAGTCATTTATCAGCACTTCATTCCAAATATGATTGGATGTCATGGTGGAAAACAAATAGGCTGAAGAGGGTGATTAGGAAAAAGTTGCAAAGAGTAAGATATGGTTTAATAGACTGTGTTCAAGGTTTGGAAGGAAATAGGGTTCTTCAAGGATTGATCTTTGGGACCACTGGTATTCAATAAATTAATTAGCTATTCAATAAATTAATTAGCAATTCCAGCAAGGTAGGACCTTGCTGTTGAAATATAATGCTCATAGAACCAGCAGGCACTCAGTAGTGTGAAGGATCTGGATAACACATTGGAACAAGTGGAACAATCCAGAGAAAAATATAATGGGGATACATTCTAGACAAGGAAAATACAGTCACATTTTGTATCAAAGACTCTCTTTTCAACAGAGATAAATTAGGCATTAATGATGTTCCACAAGACTCCAGCATCTAAATTTGAATGTTCATCCACATTAAAAAAAAAAAAAAATAGATTTATTCCAATGGGAACAGATGAAAGAAAGTTGTACTAGACTAATACAGGAAATGGAGGGCTATTGCCTGAGAGAGACTGCTTGGCTCACATGATTAATAAAATTTGAGAGGGAATCTGTACCTTATAAATTTTTTGGGCTACACATTATAATTAGGAAGAAGAGCTCATTAACATAAAGCAGTTGACTGTAAAAGGATTCAGCTATCAAATACAGTAAATTTGAAAATAAGAGGTTTTCAAATGCCAGAGGTATGAATTTTTGGAGCACGAAAGTCCCCTACTCCTAACTAGCTAATTTGAAGATGGATCTTGAAGAGTTTCCAAAAAAACCCCACACTTCACTGTCTGCAGTTAAGGGAGATGGACTGAATGGCACAGGCAGCTCTTTCCAGTCCACTGTTCCCAGTAGCTGGAAACAGAGTGAGGAGTCTTAGAACTAAGAGAAGTAAAAGTTGATGTCAATACTTTAAATTAACACAGAGAAATGGGATTTGAGACTTGAATTGAGGTTGAAAATGGATGGGTTTGATGCTAACTACAGGCATCAAACTTGCCTGTGCAGACAAGCTACTTGATAAAGGAATAAAAATTACTACTGACTTCTTGCAAAAGCATTAGAGACCATGTGTTAATCAGGTATTCTTCACTGTCTTGTTGCAGCCAAGATGGTTTAGCAGGATCCTGAGCTTTTAGTTTATTTTTTCCACAGATGGCTCATCAACCCATTTCTAGAGAGATTAGGATTACTTCCTGCAGTATACAACCATTAGTTCCTGAGATGAAGCAACTACTAGTTATTGTGCCTTAAAATTAGACCAGAAAATTTGCCCATCCCCATTTAAATGACATTTGAAGATCATGCTAACATGGCAAAGCAATGGAATGCAAAGCACAAGCCTTCTATTCCCTTCTTAGCCAGCACTACTGTGACTTTTATGGGAAGTAATGCAAATAACAACAATACTTAGCATTTACTGTGCATGATGCTTCTCATCTTCAAAGCGCTTTACAATTATTTATTGCTACTTAATCTGGAAAAAGTATGATTTCAGGCCGGCTTCTGGTAGCTTGTGTGACAAAGTTAATGTCATTTGAATCGACTCCGTTTGTATTTAATAGGATAGAACTGCAGTACTTTAGTTTCAACACTATTGTTCCATTAGAAGCCAATTACAGAAATCCAGCTTTCCCTGAATTTATAGAGCGCAGATTTTCTTTTTTCTTTTTTTTTTTTAATACAGATGAGATCTATCTAAATACTTCATGCGAGTTTAGCCCTCCCAATTCTGACTCATGGCTCAGGAGCCCTCGGAGCCTGTGCACAAAGCGGGGCCGCGGTACCGCCTGCGGGCAGCAGAGGGAGCCCGAGATGTGTCCATTCGCCACGGGGCCCCGCAAAAAATGCAATTTCGGCACCGCCAAAGTACCATTTCTCACTATTAAACATACGCATAGCAGCGTTTGACTGTTCTCCATCCACGCAAGTTTTTTGGATTTAAATTCTAATGCGGGTAAATCCTAACATGTTTTATTCTGATCGTTCTGTGTTAAACAGGACATCAAATGGTGGCACTAAAATAACGTCGGGGCAATCCCAAGCATATATAAGTGCAGGCTGGGCGGAGAAAGGATCGAAGGCATCCCCAAGGAGAAGGTTTATGTAAAGCTCAACATGACCCAGCAATGAGCTGTGGCAGCCCAGGAATTCTCCCGTGTCCTGGGCTGTCTCAAAAGCAGAGTGGGCAGCAGGTAGAGAGAGGGGATCCTCCCCACTTCCACTCTGGTGACATCTCACCTGCAGTACCACATCAGCTCTGTGGTCACAAGGTACAAAGGACATGGACCTGTTGGAGCAAGTCCAGAGAAGGTCACAAACACGCTCTGAGAACTGGAGCAGCTCTGCTCTGGAGCCAGGCTGGGAGAGCTGAGGGTGTGTGGTCTGGAGAAGGCTCTGCAGAGACCTCAGAGCCCCTGCCAGTGCCTAAAGTAGCTCCAAGAGAGCTGGAGAGGGACTTCAGAC